AATACTAGGTTCAACTTTAATTTGCTCAGGGGGTTTAGGTGTCTTAATATTACTTTTGTTAACCACAGTTGAAGCTTTAGCATGATTCTTAATTCTAACAGGGGAATGTGGTTTCTCAATATAAGTAGCAGGAACAGCAGGATCATCATAAGTGATAGTCTTTTCTTCAACTTTAATAGGTGCAACTACTTTTACTTCAATGGGAGGATTATATTTAAACCACTTCTCCTTAGGAAGATCAACATGAGTAGCAAAGGATTCATAGAAAGAAGCTACTATCTCAGAGTCAAGTCCATATTTAGTGCTAAATTCACGAAAAGCATCGGTATCCATAAAAGATTTAACACAATCAAATTTAGGTGTTATACCTGACTCCTTACCTTCGTCGAGGTCCCAACCTTCAGAGTTGCGTTTAATTCTTTCCAATAAATTCCATTTGAATTCAATAGTCTTCATCATAAAAGATCCAGTACAAGAAGTATCGAGCATGGAGCGATTACTGAGAGAAAGTCGAGCATAAAATTTTTGAATAATCATTTCTCTTAAGAGCTCATGATTGGGGCATGAATATAACATTGACTTAAGACTCCCCCAAGCTTGAGCGATGCTTTCTCCTTCGCGAGGCCAAAAATTATATATATATAATTACGATCACGATGAACAAGATGCATAGGATAAAACTTGTGATGAAATTCCAATTTCAATCGCTTGTAGTCCCATGATCCCATATCATCACATAGCCTATACCATGTCAATGACTCTCCCCTCAAAGATAAAGGGAAGACCTTCTTCTTGATAACATCATCGGGCATACCTGCAAGCTTAAATAATCCACAAACTTCATCCACATAGATTAAGTGTAAATCGGGATGCAATGTTCCATCTCCTGCAAAAGGATTAGCTAGCAGTTTCTCTATCATACCCGAAGGAATTTCAAAGTAACATTTTCAGTAGGTTGAGGAGCAACTCTTTTCTCTACTGGTCGGGGTGAAGATACCCCGAACAAGCCCTCAAAGGATTATGTTCCATAGTAACAAGTGACAGTAAATTTCAGCACACTATATAAATTTTTCCTTACCAAATTCCACCTACCAAAGACGCTTCACTCCCTGGCAACGGCGCCAGAAAAGAGTCTTGATGACCCACAAGTGTAGGGGATATATCTTAGCTTTTCGATAAGTAAGAGTGTCGAACTCAACGAGGAGCAAAAGGAAATGATAAGCAGTTTTCAGTAAGGTATTCTCTGCAAGCACTGAAATTGTCGGTAACAGATAGTTTTGTGATAAGGTAATTTGTAACGAGTAGCAAGCAATAAAAGTAAATAAGGTGCAGCAAGATGGCCCAATCCTTTTTGTAGCAAAGGACAAGCTTGGACAAACTCTTATATGAAGGAAAGCGCTCCCGAGGACACATGGGAATTACCGTCAAGCTAGTTTTCATCACGTTCATATGATTCGCGTTCGGTACTTTGATAATTTGATATGAGGGTGGATCGGTGCTTAGGTACTGTCCTTACTTGGACAAGCATCCCACTTATGATTAACCACCATTGCAAGCATCCGCAACTACAACAGAAGTATTAAGGTAAACCTAACCATAGCATGAAACATATGGATCCAATCATCCCCTTACGAAGCAACGCATAAACTAGGGTTTAAGCTCCTGTCACTCTAGAAACCCATCATCTATTTATTACTTCCCAATGCCTCCCTCTAGGCCCAAACAATGGTGAAGTGTCATGTAGTCGACGTTCACATGACACCACTAGAGGGATGACAACATACATCTCATCAAAATATCGAACGAATACCAAATTCACATGACTACTTATAGCAATACTTCTCCCATGTCCTCAGGAACAAACGTAACTACTCACAAAGCATATTCATGTTCATAATCAGAGGGGTATTAATATGCATAATGGATCTGAACATATGATCTTCCACCAAGTAAACCAACTAGCATCAACTACAAGGAGTAATCAACACTACTAGCAACCCACAGGTACCAATCTGAGGTTTGGACACAAAGATTGGATATAAGAGATGAACTAGGGTTTGAGATGAGATGGTGCTGGTGAAGATGTTGATGGAGATTGACCCCCTCCCGATGAGAGGATCGTTGGTGATGACGATGGTGATGATTTCCCCCTCCCGGAGGAAAGTTTCCCCGGCAGAACAGCTTTGCCGGAGCCCTAGATTGGTTCCGCCAAGGTTCCGCCTCGTGGCGGCGGAGTTTCTTCCCCGAAGCTTGCTTATTATTTTTTCTCGGACGAAAGACCTCATATAGCAGAAGATGGGCATCGGAGGGCCACGAGGCAGGGGGCGCGCCCCCACCCTCGTGGCCAGGGTGTGGCCCCCCTCTGGAACTTTCTTCACTCATTATTTTTTATATATTCTGAAAATAACTTCCGTGAAGTTTCAGGACTTTTGGAGCTGTGCAGAATAGGTCTCTAATATTTGCTCCTTTTCCAGCCCAGAATCCCAGCTGCCGGCATTCTCCCTCTTCATGTAAACCTTGTAAAATAAGAGAGAATAGGCATAAGTATTGTGAAATAATGTGTAATAACAACCCATAATGCAATAAATATCAATATAAAAGCATGATGCAAACTGGACGTATCATGGGCTCGGCCAAGTGGTTGCGGGTGCCCTCGGGTTCAAATTGGATCTCGGTCTGATGTTGGACGCGGTCGGCCAGCATGAGATGGCGGTCTTCGCCACTGGCCACGTCAGATCGGCTGATTCGGCGCCTGGATATCTACTATGGATGTTCTTCTCAACTCATGTTGGGTTGAGGCCCATGGCAATCTCATCTATGTAGGTTTTGGTTCTTGGCTCGCTACCGGATCCGGAGCAGATGAAAGTTTGGTGGTATAGGATGGGGATCGGAGGAAACTTTGGTCGACTGGTCCGGCCTGGCATCGGCGGCGTCCCTCAAACATTGTTACCCTTCCTAGAGGCGAAGCCGAGGTCCCTCCTATCCACCTCCAAACACATCCAGGGCGAAAGTCCAAAATCCAGACTAGATTGGGAGGCGGTGGCGTCCTGCACGTCGTAACTTCCATGGAGGAGCCGTCTTGGGAGGCTCAGATGTTCGGGGACAGGTGCCATGGGTGGTGGGCTCCACGTAGCTCCAGCAACGGCCACGGTGTGGAGGTTGGCAAGAGGAGCGGCGTTGTATCTACCGCGTCGATGAAGACGAGTATTGGCAGCATGGTGTAGCTGGATCTCGACGACGGATGTGGCTGGATAGACAAGCGCAAGGTGGTGGGGTTGTCTGGCACCGTGGCAGCGGCGACGGCAGGTAGACCGGGCAAGGTTGATGCGTCAGTATAGCTCTAAAGATGGATTGGTGGCAGTTGGTGACGGTGGCCTTTGAGAGTGCGCCGAACCGGTGTGTGCCTCACACCCGGCAAGTGGTTTGGTTGGGGTCTCAGGTCTTAGATGTTAGGCTTGGCTGCGCGGTCTGTTTGGTATTAGGCCCGGACTATCAACATGTCTTCATCAACTGGATAGGAGTAACGACAGATGTTGCCTAGACGGTGGCTTGAGACTTACTCCCTCCGTTCAGGTTTATTAGGCCTAAAGGCAACTTTTCTTGGACCAAGGCACATAGTAATTTGCTGACATTAATTCTTTCATTTCACTCCCAATGCATTCTCTCACATGCATGCAGTGTATTAATTCCCTGGTCATGTCATCAACAACAATGACTCTCAATGCAACCAATGAAGTGGTTGCATGCATGCATCTTTCCAAAGCGAGGCCTTATAAAAAGGAACATGCTTGTAATGTTGTGAGGCCTAATAAACCCAGACGGAGGGAGTACTGTTGTATTTCTTTGTAAAGTCTTTTATGAATAATTAATAAAGTGGCTGCATGCATCGTCCAGATGCAGAGGCCGGGGGTCTTCCTCTTTTTTTTTTAAAAAACTATGGTTTCTAGCGATTAAGAGCATCTCTAGCAGATCCCGTATAAATGGTCAAACCCGTAAAATAACCGCTTTGACAGTTCTAGTCGAAAAAACAGGTCTGAACAGACCCCTTAAAATTGTCCGACTCTTAAATTTTTTTAAGAGGCCCTATAAACACGAACCCGAAACCCTCATATCTTTAGTTTTGAAGGCAACTTTGGCAGGGCCCTAAATACCGGTCAACACTTGCGGTTGAGGAATCTCTGCTCCCGCCAACACCATGAAACTCACCCGGCTGCCCGTCCGCCGCGCCCGTCCGCTACCCCTGGATGCGAGCAAGCTAGCTAGACGGCCGTGCTAGCTGAATCGATGCGAGCTAGCTAGCTAGCTACGACTGCGCTAGCTAGCTGTGAATCGATGTGTGCGAGCTAGCTAGCTGAGTCCGGCCGCGCGCGTTCGACCGCCGCCCGCGCCGCCCTGTCCTAAGCCCGCGCGTCGTGGCCAGCCCGCGTCTTCTTGTCCGTTCATCCGCCGGCCTTCGTTTCTGGCCGTGTCTTTCTCGTTCGCATGTCGGTCGTCGGTCGATTTTGATTTGGTTTTTTACAGATTGATTATACGGAATCTGTTCGGCCGGTGCCCGCATCAGCCAGTAAAACTGGTTTTCTGTGAACTGTAAAAGCAATATAAGGGTCCATGATATAACAGGTCTGCTAGAGATGCTCTAATAGAGATGTGTGGTAAATGTAAACAGGAAACAAATCCTCCGGGGTGTGAAGAAGGTGCCCTCATGGCCTCATCATATTTCGGATTATGATTCTCTAATTACTTATTCTGAATCTGTAAGCACAGTATGCTTATTCTCGGCGAATGCCGAATTACATACGGAGAGGGGCTGCGCCCGGTGGGGAGAACTGCTATACACACGACGGCGTCTGGCCGATTTATGCACGATAGTGTTAATCACACCGTTGGTGTGAGGAAGCAGCATCCAGAACAGCGTTCGATTATGCATCGTCTGTAAATCGTCCACCTACCGTCGTGCACAAAGTAGTTTCGCCCGGTGGGTAGAGCCGAATCAGGTCGCGCTAGCCCAGAGGCGAAGCAGCAGCAGAGGTGGTGTTTGTCCGAGCCGCCGCCGCTGCCTTGGCCTTGGCCTTGGGGCAGCGGTTGTGGCCGTACCAGACGCCGTCCGGCAGCGGCGCCCCGAAGTAGAAGGTGGCGGGCTTCTCTCCGGCGCCGGGGCCCGGCTCGGTGACCTGGACCCACTCGGGCGCCCAGCCGTCGCGGCCGGCGCGGCGGAGGTAGAGGTAGCAGACGCCGTAGCCGCACACCCCGGAGACGCGGAAGGTGTCGGTGCCGCACCGCTCGAAGGCCCTCCCGCCCGGCGCGCTCGGGAGGCGCGCCCCGTACGCCTCGTTCCGGTACGCGTCCCCGAACGCCACGCTGACCGCGTCCGACGTCCGCGCCGGCGACGCGCAGCTCGTCTTCACCTTCACCGTGTACGTGCACGTCCGCACGGCCGCCTCCTGCGCAGCACAAGCAAAACGGCGCCATGCGTCACACGGCAGAGCAGAGCAGTCGTCGGTTGATAGATAGATAGAGTGACACCGCGAGATGTGGGCGCGCGTGCAAGAGGAAGAAGAAGAACTCACGGTGCGGCTGTCGCGAGAGGGGCCCGCGAAGACGACGACGAGCAGCAGCAGCAGCGACAGGCGAGGCGCGGCCGCTCCGACGCCGGGACCCGCCATTGCCGGCGACGAGGCGAGAACGGGTAAAGGGAATATGGGACGGGGGACGGCGCGAGGACTCGATGTGATTGCGCCGCCGCGTAGGAGTTCGGGGGGAACGCTGCTATACACACGATGCCACGCAGACGATTTGTGGACGATGCTAAATTCAAGCCATGTGATGCACAGCAGCAGCACTGTTCTACGGTTGGATTTGACTGTCGGCTACACATCGTGTGTGCAGTTTCGTCTGCACAGCAATTTCGGTTCGGGGGTGCTAATAATAGCGGTTTGGCGTGTCACTGTGTCGAGATGGCGATGAGGATGCGGTGCACGCTAGCACATGGCTGCAGGCCAGTGGACCAGCAGCGCATCGTATCGGATCGGCAACGCGCCGAATCGCTCACTAGCGGACACGAGCGTCGCGTGTCGTCACGCTCGGTGCTGATGTGGTCCGCCGCGCGGCACAGGTCGACGGACAGAAGTCAGAAGCATCCAGCGCGGGGCACACACACACAAGCGCAGGGAGTTTGATGGTTTATAATCTCAGAGTAAAATAAGCTTAGATGCTTCTACGATGCTGCATAGTCTCAGAATGAAACAGAGGCTAGCTAGATGGTTCTCCAAAAACTTATGGACGTTGAGAAAGGTCTCTATGGCGCGCTTCAAATCGGAGAGAGAGAGGAAAAACAAAAAAAATGCAAAAATTGGGGCATTCCGAGAATTGAACTCGGGACCTCTCGCACCCTAAGCGAGAATCATACCACTAGACCAAATGCCCTTTGTTGTACTGTAATTCATCTATCGTTTATTTATACACCGCACGTAACGGAATGCCCTGGCTCCCTTGCCGCGAGCCTGTGGATGAATGCATCATCCTCCGTTGCTGCGAGCATGTGAATGAATGCTCCTCCGTTACCGGTTCTGTTGCTTTCCCTGAGCTAGTTTGCTTATGCTAAGTTAAAAATATGATTGTGTGACTCAAATATAAAAGTGAATCTTTTACTAATCGAATTGTGATCGATCATACAAATTGAAGAGGATATGATCTATTGGGGCCTTGAATCATCAGGTCAATTCTCTCGCACCCTAAGGCCTTGTTCGGTTCCACAGGGTTCCAAGGGGTTTGGAGCAAATTGGCAGGGATTAAATCCCCAGCAAGTCAAAATCCACATCAAACCCCTCCAATCCTCTCCAATCCCCTTGTAACGGGGATTAACCGAACAAGGCCTAAGCGAGAATCATACCACCAGATCAAATGCGCAATGTTGAACACATTTCATCTACAGCTTATTACAACATACTACGCTGTTACCACCAGATCAAATGCGCAATGTTGAACATATTTCATCTACAGCTTATTACAACATACTACGCTGTTGAAAGCATCCTCGACTGCTGCAGGGGTGTGAATGAATCCTCCGTTGTCAACCCTATTGCCTTTTCTGAATTGGTTTTTCATGCTAACTTGACAATATTATTATTGTGTTAGTCAAATATAAAGGTGAATCTTTAGAAGCGTGCTAATCGAATTGCGACCGATCATACAAATTGAGGAGGATGTATGATTTCTCGAGGGCTTGAATCGTCACGTCAATTGTATGTCAAATCTATCTATAAAAATGTACCAATCTCCTTGGGAAGGCAGGCATGCCTCTCAAAATTAAGGTGTTTCTAGGTGCTTCGCGACCATCTCTCCGAGGACAGTCGTCAGGGTCCTAGTGATGGTCGGTGCCCCCTTTGCGAGGAGGAGGATGTTAATCATATTTTGTTTTTGTGTGTGCTTGCCAAATTCATGTGGATTGTGGTTCGGGGGTGTTTAGGGACCTCTTCGGTGTTGGGGAACGCAGTAAATTCAAAAAAATTCCTACGCACACTCAAGATCTATCATGGTGATGCATAGCAACGAGAGGGGAAGAGTGTTGTTCACGTACCCTCGTAGACCGTAAGCGGAAGCGTTATGACAACGCGGTTGATGTAGTCATACGTCTTCATGATCCAACCGATCCTAGTATCGAAAGTACGGCACCTCCACGATCTATACACGTTCGGCTTGGTGACGTCCTACGAACTCTCGATCCAGCTGAGTGTCGAGGGAGAGCTTCGTCAGCACGACGGCGTGATGACGGTGATGATGAAGCTACCGGTGCAGGGCTTCGCCTAAGCACTACGACGATATGACTGAGGTAGATTATGGTGGAGGGGGGCACCGCACACGGCTAAGGGATCAATGATCAACTTGTGTGTTCTAGGGTGCCCCCTGCCCCCGTATATAAAGGAGCAAGGGGGAAGGCCGGCCAACCCTTGGGGGCATGCCAGGAGAGGAGGAGTCCTCCTCCTAGTAGGAGTAGGACTCCCCTTTCCTAGTCCTACTAGGGGGAGGAAGGGGGAAGGAAGGAGAGGGAGAGAAGAGAAGGAAAGGGGGGCACCCCCCTTCCCTAGTCCAATTCGAACTAGAGGAGAGGGGGCGCGCGGCCCTGCCTTGGCCAGGCCTCTCTCTCCACTAAGGCCCATGTGGCCTATTAGTTTCCCCGGGGGTTCCGATACCCCCCCCCGGCACTCCGATAATTATCCGGTGAACTCCGGAACTCATCCGGTGTCCGAATATAGTCATCCAATATATCAATATTTATGTCTCGACCATTTCGAAACTCCTCGTCATGTCCGTGATCATATCCGGGACTCCGAACTATCTTTGGTACATCAAAACACATAAACTCATAATACCGATTGTAACCGAACGTTAAGCGTGCGGACCCTACGGGTTCGAGAACTATGTAGACATGACCGAGACACGTCTTCGGTCAATAACCAATAGCAGAACCTGGATGTTCATATTGGCTCCCACATATTCTACGAAGATCTTTATCGGTCAAACCGCATAATGATATACGTTGTTCCCTTTGTCATCGGTATGTTACTTGCCCAAGATTTGATCGTCGGTATCTCAATACCTAGTTCAATATCGTTACCGGCAAGTCTCTTTACTCGTTCCGTAATGCATCATCCCATAACTAACTCATTAGTCGTATTGCTTGCAAGGCTTATAGTGATGTGCATTACCGAGAGGGCCAAGAGATACCTCTCCGATACTCGGAGTGACAAATCATAATCTCGATCTATGCCAACTCAACAAACACCATCAGAGACACCTATAGAGCATCTTTATAGTCACCCGGATATGTTGTGACGTTTGATAGCACACTAAGTGTTCCTCCGATATTCGGGAGTTGCATGATCTCATAGTCATAGGAACATGTATAAATTATGGAGAAAGCAATAGCAACAAACTAAACGATCATCGTGCTAAGCTAACGAATGGGTCAAGTCAATCACATCATTCTCTAATGATGTGATCCCGTTAATCAAATGACAACTCATGTCTATGGTTAGGAAACATAACCATCATTGATTCAACGAGCTAGTCTAGTAGAGGAATACTAGTGACACTCTGTTTGTTTATGTATCCACACATGTACTAATTTTTCGGTTAATACAATTCTAGCATGAATAATAAACATTTATCATGATATAAGGAAATATAAATAACAACTTTATTATTGCCTCTAGGGCATATTTCCTTCATTCAAAACCTTAGGCCGTGTGTCAAGGTCATTGCCCTCATGTGACCATGTAATAGATCACATCACGTAGTTACGTGGTAGGTTTTTTGCCGCTCAATCATGGATTTTTCGGAATGTTCACAATAAATTTGCTATTGAAAAGATTATCATTGCTCATCTGACCGATTGTATTTTTTCAATCAATCGCCTTTTTCAGCTATGGTGTCACTTGGGCACGCAGAAGAACAAGACTATGCTGCAAGCGGTGCTCGTGAATCTTAGATATATCCACTATGTTAATTGACCGCCGCCAAACAACTAAAGTAGGTTTTGGTTTCCAAGCATGCATGCTCATGTATGAACTCCTCTATATCGTTGTTATCCTCGACCGTTTATTTTCTACAACCTTTTTGTTGTAAAACTTGAGCTTGTGTTCATGTTTGATGCTTTATAATATATATAAAGGCATGTGTTGCTTCTGGCAATCTTCTAAAAAACATTTGAATTTAGTTCCAGTATTTGTGAAAGTTTGGATTTTTTTTATGTGGTTATTGAATGCGTTCAAAGTCCCAACAAAAAATGTGAACCAACGTTGGATGATTAGGAGGATAGTGGTATCCCCTGGCCACCAGAGTTCAAATCCCAGACTTGTCATTGCTGCTCATATTTTCCTGGATTTATTCCAGACCTTCCGACGATGTGCGTTTAGTGGGAGGAGACGTTCCCGTCGACTACGAAGGCATCTGTGATGACTTCGTCAATTTTAAGATAATGTACCTGCTCAGTCTTTCAGATATGCTCATAGGAATAGGGTGTGTGTGCGTGCGTTCATAGGAATGAGTGTATGCTTGTGTATGTGAATGACTTCGATTGTAGTATGTTAAAAAAAGAGTCCCAACAAGAAAATGAATGAAGGTGAGGAGATAAACCCCTTGAAATATTGGGTAAGGAGCAGGGCCGTCTCCAAGAATTTGGGGGCCCGTTGCAAAATAAAAAAGGTTTGTCCTATGGCTGACTAATTCCGATGTCATCCAAGACGATCTTACTCTATGATCCGCGCTTGCTTGCACTTGCTTGTACTATATACTTAAGGTTGCACATTTGGGTGATAGGAACAACGGATATGAAACCCGAATTTAGAAAAATCATACTTCCTTTATTTTATTTTATTAGATGCATTAACTTTTGATGGAATTTCAAAATAGTAAGTCTATTTGGTTTATTCTTTGATTTCCTAATTTGCTAGCGGATTCTTTCCATTTGAGTTCTACAGTAAAAAAAGTCCCCGTGGATGGGGGAATCTCCTTTCCTCCCTAATCTTTATACATGCAATTGCATGCCAGCCAACAGATCCGGAAATAAAACGGCGTATGGATTAGGCAGTTGCGCCCGGAAAAACTGCTGGCTCGAGATGAAAAAGGAATCCCATGCACAGATCAACAAAGCAGACCGTTGGAT